GGTTTTAGTTGTAATATCTACAATTCAGGATTAGAAAACAATAGAAAAGACTGGGCGGGAAAAGAGTATAGAGATATTAAAAATGATTGACTATATTAACATATATGGGTTATGAAAGTAAAAAATTAAATAAATGAATATTACCCTTTGGGTAATTGCTTCTAACGCTTGGAATTAAGTAGAAGGATTGTGAAGATTAAGATATTATATAAGTAATTAAAAAACAATACCATTCTTCATAAAAAGAGCTTCATCTTAATAAAGATGTAAGTATTCCAGAATATAAGAAAAATCTCAATGAGAAGAGGATAAGAGAAATCAATCGTGCTAATGAATTAGCTTCCGTAGTTTATAGTAGAACCATTGAAACAATGGTTAACTAAAAGAAATAATCTAGCAAAGGAATTGCGCAGTAAGTTGTATGGCTATAGCTTTGAGGAATTGGAAAAGTATTTTGATGATAATAGCAGAAATAAATTCTCTAACAAGCAGGAGTCAATTGTACGTAATGTAGTAGTGTTGATGGTATTAAGCTTCCTAGGTAATATTTTAGCATTCTTTACTTTAATTGCATTTTTATAACTAATGATATTTTTGTACTATACCACCAGTAGTGGGTGCATTAGTTCCATTACTAACGTCAACTATTATTAATAGAGCTGTGTGAGATATCTACCATAGACATTCCAAAGAATTTAATATGAGTGCTATATTACAGTTATTGCTTGGCTTTGATTAAGAACATAAAGGTTTTTTAGAAAAATATGAAGATTCTTCAGGAAATTGTAAAGATTTTTTAAAAAATGATAGACCAAAATTGAAGAGGTTAAAAAATCATTGATTTTGAACAATATAATTTGTGCATCTTTAATGTTTTATGGTAGGGGTTGGACTTAGTTGCTAATGGTCTTAGTGTAACTAACTCTGTTTCTGATTTATTCCTTACATTACCATGCATGCTTTTATCACCTACAATGCCTATTGTAGGTGATTTTTTTTGATAAGCACATGAGAATAAATTTATAGGAGGGTAATTCAAAATATGATCGTAAATATAATAAAAAGTCGGTCAGTAGTATAGACCCTGATAGTGTTTTTTTTACAATACAGGTTATAAAATGTGGGTTGATGGGCGGACTGATAATCACTTAAAGTATATTAGCTATACCATCCGGAATTGGGTTATAATAGTTCTAGGACAACACTTGAAAAAGATATTTTTTATATTTTGGCTTTTAGCTTAAATATGTTATAATATATGTATATTGTCACGT